GCGGATGTATTCATAACCGTATGTTTCCTCTTGCTCACCCGCTTCCTTCCTTGAGCAGCAGGGGCATCCTTCGCCACCACAACCTCGCCAGTCTCTGCATCAACAACGTCTCCCAACTTCACACTCCCCCTTGTTTTCGGCTTTGTCCTCGGCTTCGAAGGCCCCTCCTTATCCTTCAATTGCAGATCTGGATTAAATGTGTCCTTGTGCTTCGCATGAGCAGCAGCCGTCATACGTTCCAGCTTACTTCGGGCAGCCTAAACCCACGCCAACATATCAGCCAACAATGCCAAAAATCTGCGTCGAAATGAGTGAATTCACAAACCTTCCTAACCCGCCTCTCCTCATCCGCTACTTCAGTCTCACCACCAACTTCAGCAACCTTCTCAGCCTCCTCATCCGTGCTCTCAAAATCAGATCCAAATTCATCTTGTTCGTCTATGTGAACGATTCAAAGGAGAAACGCAAACCTGCATGAGTAAGATACGAAAATAACAGCACACCAATATCAAACAAACATACCATTTTCCACAAAGAACTCCTTGTCGTCGTCCAGATCCTTCATCGCGTCTTCTGCAGCCATCTCAGCCAGAGCGGCTTCCATTCTATGAGAGAAAATAATCAAGTTAGACCACTGATGAGATGAGTCCTGAGTGTATTGCCCACCGGTTTCCTGCTGTACTTCTCCGTGAGCGACGAGTCGCGAGCATCTCTGTGGGTTCTTCTATACCCTCCATTTTCAAGTATTTAACCAGAGAGTTGGGTGATATCGACAGGTAGAACGGAGATGGTGAGGGCAAGGTTAGCGACAAGTGTGGTGTTGCCTGAAAGTCGCGTCCGAGTTCTCACGCGCACACCGAAGGCAACTGGCGCGCTAATGAGACGGTCAGATACAACCTGACATCTGTTTGTCCCAAACACTTCGAGCATATTTTCACATTGTTGAGTCTATTCATATATAACCAACAACTCAATCACAAAAAATATTAATCATAGCTACATGTCTAGAAATTACAACACAAGCAACAACAGATCCATCTCCTACTCCACAACAAGAGAGACATAAAAACTACAAGCAAAATGGAAGGAAATCAGACCAATAATAAATAGCACACGAAAAGAAACAGCATAAACGTATACACTAAAGGGATGATATAATACAATATCTTTCGGATTCTAAAGGAATGTGGGGTGTACTACAATGGGGGATTTAAGCTAGTGACGAATTGAAGCTAGAAGAGCGTGTAAGTACATTTAGAAGCGCTCCGAGTTGTCCGTGAGGAGATCAGAAGTGTGGAGTATGATTAAAAGGGAGGTGGAAGTGATAATGGCAATGAATGCAAAAAATAGACTGAAAAAATAAATAAAGAATCAATCCAAAGCTAACCAGCGACTTGATCAATCAATACTGCTTCGTCGCTTATCCTCCCTTCTCGCGGCCTGCGGCGTACCGAGAAGTCGTAGTCGATCCCGAAGGTTCGAACGAGCCACCGATGTCTCAGCGGGAGTTTTAGCATCAGATCCAGGCGTCTCGTCGATATCATCAAGAACTTTCTTCTACAAAATAAGTATGAATTAGCACATGTCCGAATTGTCGAACACCAATTCAAGATCGAAAAAGGGACACGAAAGGGGGTGAGTCAAACTAAGAAACAGCGCTCTTACTTACTGAATTCTTCCTATGCAAAGAGAAGAATCGTCTAACACCCCCACCAGTCGACCTATCACTACTCGAATCCTTAGTCTGCGACGTCGACTTTGCCTTCTTGTGTTTCGAGTCCATAGCATCTATGATCACTATTGCCTTGGCCGCCGAATTCGGGGCAGGGGAAGATGCACCCGGACTAACCGACTTCGACAACTTCGATGTCCCCGACATATGCGACGCCTCGGATGGAACAGCTCGGATCGGTTCAGGAGCGTGCATCTGCTGCATTGTCGTCCCCGACCCAGTCGAGGTGCTTATCGTAGCAGTAACAGGCGACACAGGGTATTCAGCTGTCGCACTCTTGGCCATCGAATCGACATTGACCATCACCCATCCTTGACCTCCACCGCCACTTCCGCTTCCACTTCCACCATTCAAACTAGTCTGTCCAGCATTCGAATGAGCAGAGTTCGAAGATGCCATCCTATGCATAGGCTCTCTCTGAGGGTAGAATGAACTTTGCATAGGTATAATGGCAGGTATTGGGACTGGTTCAGGCGAGGCATGGACAGTGGAATTGATGATCCCAACCAGAGCCGCTTCACTCTTCCTCAACGCCATTGCACTGTCGGGGCTGACAATTTCAGGTGCTTCTACGCGGGACACATTCTCGTAGATTGGCGTCGAGACACTAGCAGGTGTCTTCTCCTTTTCGCTAGAAGTCCCACTAGAGGATTGGTGCATGGCAGGTTTGACTGGCGATGAAGGGTTGCTTGTAGAATAACCAGGGAAGTGGTCTTCTCCAGACTCGGAAATTGGTGTTGGCTGCCAGCCACCAGGAAGGATAGGTGTGGCGGGTGCCCGGTTAGACTTGTTCCAATGAAGTGACCGTTCAGATGCATCCTTCTCCCGAGTATCGAGAGAAGGGAAACCATCCTTGAGCGGACCTGTCCATTTAATAGGTACATCATGGCTGATATCAGTGTGACCTGAATCTCTGAATGCGTCAAAGCCGAGCAAATTCGGCGGGTGTGGGTCAGGAGAGGTTGGGAATTTGTATTGTTCATTCTTGGATTCTGCCATCGTAGGTGACGGAGGTGTTTTCCTAGGAGAATTGTGCGGTGAAGTCGAGGTCAACAAAGGCGGTGTCTTGGCGCGTTCCGATACAGGCCTCAAAGGACGACTTTGCTCCGCATAAGCGCCTTGTGTAGGTCTAGGAGATACAGGCGGCGAAGTCAAAGGCTTCTGAATTTGAGCTGAAAAAGTTTCATTGTTGATACCTAGCGGCCGAGCCCCTATTCCAGTCATGTTCTCGGCGCTATTCGATATGACGCTAGGCATGTACGCACGAATAGGTTGGACGGGAGGTGGAACGACTTCATCAGGAATGTCTGAGTCGCGTTGTATGACTGAGACTGGAACCTGGGCACGAGGGGCGGGTTTGCGGAGGACGTGCGGACTCTGAGGCGGTGGCCGCTGATGATTATTCTCAGTCGCAGCGCGCGCGGGGTGGGTGTACGTTAATGATGTTTGTGGAGTAATGGGAAGGGGTTCTGTAACTTGACGTCTATGTTGGTGCAACGTATCCGATGGAGGTGTTAGGCGCCTGAGAGAAGCAGAAGGTTGCAAAAAGGATTGGGATAGATCGGCTGGGGCGTTGTCTGGTGCTGGACCAGTAAAAATCCAAAGATCTTTGACTCTGGAGCGGTTTGTCAGTGATATTGAGGTTAGAAGGGTAAATGAGTGTTGGTCTAGCGAGGAAAGTAGAGATAGAATATGTCGAAGAGAATCAGTAGCAAAAGTGTCTTGTTGGAACCCTGCAAAAGAACAATGAGGACCTGTGTTATGAATAAACCCAGACCACGCACATTTATAACCCTTTAACTTGAATTCGAAGGTGTTCTCTCCGACCTTTTTCTCCGAAACAACTCCTCGTGGCCAGGAATTCCGCACCGACTGCAAAATAGCTGGTGTCAAATGAAGAGGCGGTGATATAACTCGCATAAGGGTCGTGGATCCGAATGAGAGGGCGAAAGGAATGCGCTTTGGCTTTGGCTTGTCGACCAAAGAACTGGATGAGCTCAAGGGTGGAGCTGGTTGAGGAGTATGCGAACGAGATGCAGATGGAGAACCTGTAGATTTTGAAAAAGCCATTGCTAGTCGATCATCGTTCTCCCGACCGTAGTCTATGGTGGAGAGATAGGTGTATCCACACTGGTAAATGATGGCGATAATGTCGACTAGCAGCTTTTCGGTCGCCACAGACTTTGGGCTGCCCCATGGTTTTCCATCTACTGCCACCTCACACAAATTCTGTTCTGTGTCTTCCCTAAACGACAGTACACCGACGGCAGCATCGAGCAGACTACGAATGGAGCGAACCAGAGAAGGAGTAAAAGAATATAATCTAATACAATTTGCTGATGAAATGGCGAGTAGAGCAAAGGAATTTAGGGAATGTTGTTGGTCACGAATGAATTCCTTGCGCGGAGTGAAAGGTAGTTCTGGAGAGCTCATGGCAGTTTCGCGATGAAAGTTTGCTAACAGTAATTCGGGAATTCCTTTTTTGACGTCACTTCTATTCACAACACGTGCAAACCATCAGGCATAACACGTGCATGACTCTTCAAAATACACGCCACTCCCCACCATCGTCATTTGTCCAGGTCTTTAAGGTAACTGTACTAGACTGGGCCTATGCGGTCAGAATCTGTCAAGGAGTCCACCTATGAATGTTCAATTTGACTTTTGTGGGGTACAGAGAAGGTTGCTGGAAAGGATGATCCTCATTTTGATCGCGATCATCGTCAATTTTAAGCGCGGCTTACAGTAATCGTCAGTCGTCTCTTGAGACCAGACACTGATAGACAGCTTTAACGCTTCAAAAAAAGATTAAAACCTCTGCACTGTCGAGCGATACTTTCGTTTACAATCATCGCATCAGATAGGGGTCTGTACACTATGAGCTCACAGGTGGAGCCAATCAAGGGTCAATTGAATGCTTGGAGAAACCAGGCACTGAGTTTTGGCGACTTCTTCACACCAGTAACCACGTTCATGTTTCTCCGTTTCATGTTATCAGTGACGAAAGAGACCGTTATATCACTCCCTTTCGAAACAGTATCTTTGTCATAAGTCCGTGCTCCGTCCGTGAGCGAATGGCTGGAAAGTGTCACATGAAAGCATCCAGTTCGTCCATCTTTGATCGAATAAACCAAGCGAAAATTCTATGGATCTCGAAACCTGTTCGACTTTGTATCGCGAGCAAGAAGCAAATGCTTTCGCGATCCTAGAATTTGCAGCAGGTTGTAGTCTCAGAACGAGAACGGCTGGGTCCAAGCCAAGGTATCAAGGCGCTGTAGTGTAGTGGTTATCACTCAAGATTCTGATTTGTTCAGTGTTCTTGTAACCCCGGTTCGAATCCGGGCAGTGCCTCTATTTTTGCGCCTTTCCGCTTGGACTTTCTGCTCACCTTTTCGAGTGATCGACTAGACGCTCGGGCCCGAAGAGATGACAGGAGAAAGTCGATTTCAAGGCGTTTTAGTGTCGTGGTTATCACTCAAGATTCTGATTATTCCAGTGTTTTTGTGACCCCGGTACAAATCCGGGTAATGCCTACCTCCTGGCGCTGTAGTGTAGCGGTTATCACTCAAGATTCTGACTCGCTCTGTATTCTTGTAACCCCAGGCAGTGCCTCTTCTTTAGGAAAAGTTACCCCTAATTAGTTTTTATTTGATCCGGACTGTTGTGCCAAATATGAGGTCATGCTCCTGCCACGTCTTTTCAATATCGACCCTTGTCTTAACTGTGTTTTTTTTTCACCTTGACCATTGAACATGTCTGCTACTGCACGCGCCGAAGCTCGTAGAAAAGCCATTCTGAGTCGGGGAAACGACCGACTGGCAAAACTTACAACGTCTGCTCGTGGTGACGAGGCTTCATTCCTTCATGATGGTATGTCTATTTTATAAGAAAAGTACTAGTCCATGATTTTTTTTATCTTGTTTATTTATTTTGTAGACCCACCGCTCCCAAGTATGTCCAAAGCTTCACGCAATTTCCTTGGAGAGGATAGTTCAGATATGCCCACACCTCAACGAGTGTCGGTTTCACCGTCACCTTCACCCGGGCCCACTGCAGCTGCCGGTTCAGCTTCAACCTCAACAGCCGCATCACCGCAGTCAAACAACCAACGTGGCACGACACCTTCGCGAAATGCCAACATCTTTGAAGGTCTCAGCGGTGCCAACCCACCCGACCCCTCAGTCTGGTTACCAGAACAGCAACAGCAGTTCTTGCAGGCGTTGATGAACGCGTCGATGGCACCTCCCGGAGCAAACCAGTCCCAAGCCCCACCTCTCCCACTCTCATCACCCATCGGCGAGCCTCTTGGTCCTATGGATCCGATGATGGAGATGGAAAATAACCCTTTTGCAGCTTTATTGAAGGGTGGACCTGGAGCGGGAGGCCCTCAGAACCCCCTTTTCCCTCCTGGTATGATGGGCATGCAGCCTCCTGAACCACCCAAGGAGCAGACGAAACTGCAAAAAGCCATGCCTTTACTGCACCTTGTGGCGATGTGGTGCTTGTTGGCGTACTTTGTGTTCTGGGTGGAACCCAACACCTACTTGGCCTCGACGGGTAGAGTTGACGGTGGAGTGTTTAGTGGATCGTTCTGGTCAAGGTGGGGAGATATGGCTGCTGGAAGATGGGTGGCTGAAAAGGCGAAGCGCATGTTCCTTGTGCAAGCAGTGGTGCGTAACAACCTCACCATAGTTTTTTTTTTTATGACTGAACTCCCAATTTTTCAGCCATTCTTCTGGGCGTTTACGACAATACAAATCGTCCTGCACTCTCTGCGGATCTTCTCTGGCTTTGTGAGTAGCTTTTCAGATATCCTCAGAATATTTTCTCATTTATCATTTTAGAATGCCGTTCAACCGCCCACACTTCTCGCATTCGCCCTTCCCCATCTCCCTCCACCTATACCGAGCCTAATCATCAATTCACTGAAGTACATGCAAATGGGGTCACTCTTCTTGGATGACCTTGCTATACTTATTGTTGGCGTCGGTTTCGTTGTCTACCTCGCTGGGTGGTTCGCATCTGCACAACCATCCCTCATATAATGACGCTTATGCCGTATTGTCTGTAAACCCACTATGATCTCGCTGCTGCGCTGTCACCATTCATCGCTAATACTTAACGCTAATGCCATTGGGGACACTGTTTCTTTTATCCTGGTGTGATAGCACCCGTAGATTGACGTGTTTTTATGCTGTTATATTATATGTGTGGTTGTATATAAAAGCATACACCAGGGTTTAATGGTTTTTCTCGTGTAATTATTGCGTGTAGGTCGAATAGGAGATGAGTGGCTATGTCAAAACACGAGGATGGGATGAATAGTTGAGAAAAGAAATTAACACCAGCTGTCAGCGTCAATCATGAGGTAGCATTTGCTGTCGAGCCCTTGTCCTGCTTCGGCTTTTTATCCTTCTTCTCCACCTTCTTTGGTGCCTTCTCAGGGTGTTTTGCCAAAAATTCCTGCAAGAAAAGTGTCTCCCCCTTGGCCGCCTTCGCTGCTTTTGCCCTCCTCTCTCTTAGTCGCTCCTCCTCCTTCAAATAGGTCTCCTCTCCGGGAAGGACTGGCAACCCTGCAGCTTTCGACTCTGCAACGTGTGTCTTCCAAGGGTCTCCTCCCGCTTTCTCCATAATCTCCTTCAGGATTGACGTAGACCATTTATCGGAAATATCAACTTTGTGAGTTTTACCGTCGTCTGTTGAGTGGGTGATGATTTCGAGAGCAGGGAAGGTAGGTGAATGAATATATAAATAGAGTTGTTAGATTACGGTTCAGAATTGGCACAGGATAGCAGAATAGGGCTTGACGCACTGAATTCGAGCTCCATAGCGGCTGCCCAGTTATCCTCCTTCGTCTTCCTCACCCGGTCCACTTGAACCTGAAGGTCGGGGTTCGCGTATCGTATCCGTGGCAAGTCGTTAGCGACAAAGTGTCTATTTCAACGCGCGTTCGTCGTGACAATAACAGAACGCGGAGGTGAAATTCCAGTTCACAGTCAAAGAAGCAAGAAAGAAAGAACAGCAAATCATATAAAATAAACCCCACAAATCATCAGTACCACATCACACCCCTCCACAACTTGAAAACGACGCAACACACCTCGCTCCGAAATGGTCATTCTGGAATGCATACGACAGTCTGAGTGCTTTCACGCCGTTCAGCGTCAGTTTTGGCGACGACTTCAGGTGCGTCAGGAGTTTCGAGAGTTTGATGATCCCTTGAGGGAGTGTCTCAGCTTTCGGTGGCATGATTGACGCGGTTACGGGATGTCCAGGTCAAGATATAGGAAAATATTGTTCGAACTTCGGAGAGCGTGTCCAAGGTTCCGTCGGGTGATGTATGAACTGTTACTGCGAGCGTTGACAATTCGTAGTCGCCTGTGTTAAGACACTTGTATAAAGTAAAAGCAGGTGTGCACAGGAGACGGCGTCAAGAACCCAGTTAAGGAGACTGTATATGAGGAGGAGTAGGTCAGGGAACTGGCTTTAGAAATTTAGTCCGTAAATGGAATTGGTTGTTTGCTAGAAATTTACGGTGCTTGGTTCAGCTTGGTTTCGTGGGGGTCGGCATTTCGGTCCAGGACCTGATCCAATCACAACTTGAACCCGACTCAGGGGTCACGTGAGCCACAAGAGCCCCTTTGATTTCATGACGGTCGGAATTTGGAAAGTTGAATTGATCTGTTGGACCACCGTGACTGAACTTTCTCCTTCATCGCAGATTACTTCCACCCTGTCCTCAACCAGTGCCACCTCCTTCGATGACGACCTCTGTTAGAGATTGCAACAAAGACATTACCAAACTCCTCTCTACTGCGAAGGATGTTCACATAAGAGGATTTCAGGGTGTCAATGTCGACTATACACCCACTCCGCTCCCTCCGCTGTGGCTCACAGACCGACACCTTGCCATAGAATACCGTCTTGAACGTGTAGTTCTGGTGGAAGACGTGCTCTCTGATATGACACAAGATTTTGATCACGACATTCTTCGATATCTTGCAGATAATGAGAAGTTCCCGGCCGCGAACCAATTACCCACCCTGAAGAGATCCTCATACTTTACAATTGAAGGTCCTGGTGCCTTTGAATTCATATACGGGGCGCAAATAGGCTTGAATTCTATCTTGCTTGCTTCGAACATGTACATTCATCCAAATCAACAAACATGGTGCTCACCCTTCTTCCTACAACAGCTTCAACCACGTCCAGTTTTTTTGAACCAATCGGAGGTCAAACTTTTTGAGGACAGAAGGAAACTATGCGACTTTGGACTCTCGGAGGATGTTGTCTCAAAGATAAATTCCTCTGTTATTGACAAATTGCGCATTATTAGGGATGGTCATAACTGCCTAGCCACGATCAATTTCTTGCCCATATGTCCGGAATCAGACGACATTGTCGCAGAAGTGCTTTCTTATGATCCCCATGACTGGAAAGTTTCTGACACGGTTTCGCCTACATATCTGGAGCCCTTCAACCGCTCACGGCCGGTTGATCGACCCAACACCTGGTGGAGCACTTATAAGTCCCCTGCTAAATCGAATTCCAATCAAATCAAACGGACGCGGCGAAAAAAAATATTATTACCTCCTCGAAAGGGCACACGAAACCCACTGCAACCCTCAGCTGCGGAATTTGTTCAACGGGTAAGCTTGCATTTTTTACTGGACGCTTGACGCTGACGATCTTGTGTAGGCATGGTGTCGGGCAGTGGAAACTGACGCAACTTTTCTGGTTTTCAATAGCGGAAGCAAAGAGCGTATAGGGATTCGACACCGAGCCACAAATACTCTTTTTATCTCTCCAGTCATTGACCCTTTCAACAAACCGTACATGATGTATCATATGGCGCTCCATGCTGCCATCTTGAAAGATGCAATAGCGCGGACTTCGCCTCAACCTCATGAAGATACGTCGACACTCACAGGGAAGCGAAAGCAAAGGCAAGAACAGCCCAGCGCTCGAACCAGGTGCTCGAAGCGTTTGAAAGGAGAGCCGCCCACTCAACATGAAAACATCGCTCTAGACATACGACATGTGCGCTTATATTCTACCACACACTGGTTGATATGCACTGACTTTTTTCAAAGGAAATTTCTTCGCGCCACATTCTGTTGATATCATTTGACTTTGATGTGTACCATTCAACAGCACCATCAACGTTTCTGCGCATATCCCCATTCTGTCATCCTGACTTTTTATCAAGCCCATTTCAACAGCTCAAGCCCAACAGATCGTACCCAATGTCGAAGTACATGCATTTCACAGCTAGGGAAAAGATCGGCGATGGAAGGACAGGGACGGCGTTTCGAGGCGTTCTTCGGATTCAGACCGGGTCTGGACATACCATTGAAAGTAAAATCGTTTTGAAGATCCCGCTCGGCGCTCAGCCGACGAAGAACATCCATGACGAATATAGGACGTACACAGAACTGGCTTTAGCAGGGGTCACCGAAGGTCTTGTTCAGGTTTATGGTGTGTTCGAAGATATTGAAACCGGAGCTATTGCTATGATGATGGACGATGGTGG